GCACTTGTTACTACTAGCGTGGCACTTGCTACTAGTAGTTTCTTGTTTCTACTAGTAAGGCACTTGTTACTAGTAGAATTTAGACTAGGTACATTGGAAAGATGAGAAAGATTGGACACATAAAGAAAAATAAAATCAGATGAGAACAGATACGGAAGGACAAGATTCGTGGATCGAGTAGCTCGAGTAGATATATAGATGGATTCGATCGACTAGATGAGGAAAAGATAGATCAGGTAGAGGCGATAGACTGGATGGATTGTAAAGATTAGATAGATTAGGTAAACAGGGCCCACGGGCCCGCCCACGGGCCCGGATGTTGAGGAGACCATGGCCGTCTTCTCAAAGACACAATCAGCACGTGTTGTACCAAAACCGCACTGCAGAAGCTATGCCCTGGCCTCACGCCAGCCAGCATGACATCTTAGCGTGGAAGCTGTTGGTGACTGCGAACAAATCTGCTTTGCTGTTGCTTGTTAGCCTCTGTCAGTCATTTATGACAGCATACCCCCGCTACAAACAATCTGCTACACTCAACCAGGCTAGCACAGCTAGAGGCGGTACACTGCGCAGAGCCACCACAGCAGCAAGCAATACTCTTCAAGCAACCTCTTGCCACTGCAACTCTTAGCTCGGAGCCCATGCTTTTTGCACAAAGAATGGGATAAGTTCGGTTTGCGTCACTTAGATTTCCATCCCGTTGCTTTGCAGCTTGCATTCTCAAAAAATATTAAGCCGTTGGGATGCGTCACGAGGATTGTGAAGCTGCGTGGAGTGAAAGAAATACTATCAGAAGCAAGGATGTTACTAGGGGCTCCTGGCCTTACTACTAGGAGCAAGGACGCTACTAAGGGCTCCTAGCATCGCTACTAGTAGCATTCTTGCTACTAATAACAAGTGACGGCGTCCACCTTTTCTCCAAAGCGTCCTCTTCGGCCCCACACTCCCGAGCTTCTCAGGGCCCTCAACAGCGTGGAGAGACAAAGTGAACACCCTAAAGGCCTCTAAAAGCAAAGCGCCCAAAGCACTCCGTTCCCAAAGCATCTAGAACCTGAGGTTTGTCCAACAACTGAGTGGCCAAACCAAGTCTCACCCCAGTCGCTTGATGTCGCTTCCATGAACAAACCTTGTGATGACATGTTGACTCTGTGGCCTTTCCAACAACATTCTTGAGCAACTGGATAACTACGAGCCTTGCAAACGCTGCCTGGAGATCTTGACATGACTCAAGCAGGAAACAAGTGGAACAAGTTGAACCAAGTGTGCATGTTGTACGGTGCAAGAGCTTGGACTGCACAACTCGCGATTTGCCTGGCTTACACTCTGCTCCGACGCTGCCATCGAATCAGCAGGCTGTGAGACACCAGAAGTCTCAACAGCTGTACACTGTACAAGCAGCCGGATTGTCCAGGTGGGGGAGTAAGCAAAGGCAGTATCTCTGGCATGCTGGTGCACCTGAACAAGAAAGTACATGTATAATATGCTGCATATGTTATCAACCCCCACCTTCCGCGAGACTTCAGGAATGAACTAGGTCAGAATGCCTCTCACTAGGCTTCTAGGAATGGCCTAGCATGCTTCTAGGACTCTCACTAGGTCTTTGGCTGCATGCCCCTCCACCCCACAGCCGACGTAAAACTCTTGGTCTCTTGGACCATTGCGACTTGAGGGTCTTACAGGAGGCCTTACATGAAGTCATCATCGCTGTCGGCGTCATCAAAGACTGGCTCCTCCAACAAGTCAAACTCAAGTTGGTATCTCATTAGCCCGCCAATGCCGCCAAATCCTTTCACAAATTGATTGCCCTCCTGTGATCGATCCGAGATAAACTCTAGCTTCGTGCCAAAGTTCTTGTAGTTCTCTACAATCCAGTCCAAGAAGGCCTCGTTCTCGGTGACATTGAGCTCCACATTAGTCTCTTTGTCAACATAGAGCTTTGGATCCTTCTCCTGCTCTGGGGTTACAAACTTGACCTCCTCTGTGTCAGTATGGGGGTTCCGGATCACCAGGCGCTTGATCTCAAGCTGCTCCCAAATAATCAGAGTCTCGACAGCTCCTGCTTCGAGGCCCTGCATGGTATCATGGATGCCAAAGCAGTACTTGCCCGAGTCCGTCGCAACCTCATCCAAGAACTTTGTGACCAGCTTTTTCTCCTGGACGAACTTCACATTCTTCAAGGTTTCGGCCGACAACTCAATGGCCTGATTAAACCCAGCCTCACCCCCATAGCTGATATCCAGCAACGGAGGGATTACGATGGCAGCGAGTCTCTGATCAAAAAGGTCCGTGTTGGTTGTCAAGTCCTGCTTGAACTCTGCAGAACCTGCCACGATTAGGCCTTTGATATTTGGAGTCTCTCCATTTGGGATGAACATCTGCGTTGCTGTCTCTCCAACTTTGCGCACATAATTGTGTCGCTTCTCCAGTCGAAGGCGTGCGAAACGCAAAGCCGACTGTCCTCCACGGCCATGCTTCTTAGGCAAGTCAACAGTGAACTTGTGAAGGATTTCACGGTGATTGCCCTGCACCGTTCCGAAGAGCGAGCCATTTCCATCCATGATGAGAAAGCCGAACTTGTCATCATCTTCCATGAGCTCAGCTAGTGGCTCTGTGTGAAACTTGCTGTCGCACAAATACATTGAGGTATTGATTGGCTTGAAGGGCTCAAAATCAATGGTCAACTTCTTCTCCTTGTTGTCCTTTCAGCGTGAGAAACCAAAAGGGGATTCATCGTTTTTGTTTGAATGAATGCTGAGAATTGAAGTAGTTGCAAACGGTTCTAGAAACCGATCACGTTTTATTTTAGACACTACATTCTCTTTTGTTCGTCTGGCTTTGCCTCTGTGAGAACCTCACCACAGAAAATGATGAGGCCATTTGGTGGGGTTCGGTTGTACTTCTTCAAGCGCTGCTGGGTAGATGTAATTGCTGACAAAACGGACAACCTGTTCACGCGGGACTTGATGCAAGAAGCTGTACCATACTCCTCCGTGAGCATTTTATTGGTCAAATTGATGTCTTGCTTTGCATTGAGAATCAAAGTGATGGCTGATGTGCCGTTCCCTCGAGCAGCATCGAGCATCTTCACCAAACGCTTCACCTTCCACTGCTCAATCTGTCTATCCTCATCGGTCGACATGGTGAGAGGTTTGAGAAAACCTCGTCCACAAAGGGAATACACTCTACGCTTCCCATTTGAGCCGTTTCGAGATAAACAATTTCTACTCTCAGCATACTTCACAACAGCCCATCGGATTTGAATGTTTTGATGCCAGTGTCTCTTCGACAGATTGCAGTATCTTTCAATCAGCATGAAGGGCAGGCGTCGCCAAAGGATGAGCATTAGATCGAAAAGTGGTGGATGCTTTATTTATATATTTATAAATATACAATTGCATATGTATTTAAAATCTAGACTAAAGTGAGAAAATGTTGGCTTGAACTCCGTCATCACTGCTTTCAAGAAAATGAAGTTAGAAAAAGTCTGGGAATGCAAATGCAGCCAACAGCATGCACCTCCGCGCATAAGGCCAAGGCAAGCGCGCTGATTCAGGCAAAGCTTTACAGCGGTTTGTCCACACAGGATGCAGGAAGTCATAAGGTTTGAGTAAACACAACGCATTGGCTGATCTAAAACTCATGCCAAGGCAAGTAACAACAACCGAACCATGCATTTCAACAATGCTGAACTATGAAGACTGTGACTTGTGAAGGCTAGTCGTCAGACTTACCAGTCGCACTTGCTTAGTCGCATGTCGTCACAATGCTAATCTCGAAAGCACCGCTTCACTCTCCAAGAAGGTCTTTTTTAAACAAATGAACAAATAGAACAATCTCATTGTTAAAGACTTGTTTCACTACTTGTTTCATCTCTTATTTCCTTTGATTCTTCACTACGAAGAATCCGGGACATGTCTGGACCACCTCTGTGCGTCTATGTTGCATGATAATGTCAGTACATAGAATCAAACTGAAGAAGACACCAGCGGAGGACACTCAAGACCAAGTCTGTCTGCGGGCAACTGCTTCTTTCATTCTTTGATTTGAATACTTTTGTGTGTTGTGTGAGACAGCAATAATACTAACACAACTGCGGCATGAGCAGCCTACAGACCAGCGAATCACTTCTTCTGCACTTTCCGATGATCAAACAATGACTTCAAACAAGGCAATCGCTTCCGTCCATCACAGGTTGCCTCTTTGGGCGATAAGTACCATAGGCTGCACCTCTACATCTTCAGTCTGCGCTGTGCTGTGCGACACAATTGAATCTGGTTTCGGCCACCATTGTGTTGACTTTGAGAGCTTTTCCTTGCAGAAAAAAAACAAAGAGCGACACTTAACCTTTAAGTTCACTGATTTCTTATCCGAGCTCGTTGTTTCTCGTGTTCGTTTCTGCCGTCCTCATTTCATGTTCTTGATGGCTTCGCTAAGCCCCCTGGCACTCAGCGTCTTGATGGAAACCACTCGCTAAGCCCCATGGCTTCATAAGACTCTTTCCTAACAGTAGTTATTTGTATGGAAGGACTTAGTGCTCTTGCTACTTCTGACATCTTTTCTTACTTTGTTACTTGTGCCATCTTGTGCCAGCCTGAAGTATTCATGGTCTTGCGCTGCTTTGCCAGATATTCGTCTGTCCGGCCAGTACTGCAGGAACTTCTGGCACAGGGTGCAGCATGGTGAGAGTGCTGCCCGTTACATCCCTTTACTACGCTAACTCAAATTAATCCCGTTTTGCGGTCTGTGAGCGTTCGCTTCACGGGCTTGCACTGGCTACTACCCGACGGTACCCGACAGTACCCGACTTCAAAGTGTTCGGGCACACCGACATGAGGTCTGTGCCCTCGGCCTTGGAAGACACATTCATCTCCAAAGGAGGTAGAATCACAAAAGGACACGTTCAAAAGAAAAACTGTTTTAGTTTGTTGTAAAGAACGATTGGCAAACATGTCTAAACGTCATGCAGAAAAGGATTGCTAAAGGATCAGGAAGCTGAGAAAGTGCTGGGACTTGTCCGAAGCCTCGGGTCCTTTGGCTGGTAGAATGATACACCCCATCGATCTGCTCAGTTTCCCCCAAAGTCTAGGAAGCAAATCATTAGTGCGAGCGCTTCTTCAAGGAAGCTCCCCCCGCCCTCAGGCGGAGGGAGCTGCATTTTGTGAGGTCGTCCTTTGATGTGACTACTGCGGTTTGCGGTTTGAGCGTCTTTTGGACAGGTTGTGCCATTGGGATTTACTCTTGAACGGTTTGCCTCGCTTTGTTTTCGTGACAGGTTTTAGTGAAATAAATTTGGCATCGCCGAATCGCTTTTCGCAGTCGTGAGGTCGCGACATCTGGTGAATGTTTGGCCAGCGGGTCACTCAGGGCACTTGGAACTTCACATGAGGAAAGTGCGAATTGCTCCTTTTGGAAGCTTGGCACATACCTTCTGGAGCAAGTTTCGTACCACATGCCTCTTTCGAAGACTGAACAATGTCACGGAAAATGCTCGTTTTGGAGGCTTGATGCATGCCATTTGGAAGTCTCGACAGAAAACGCTCTTTTTGGAGACTTGGCGAGTGGTTTTCCAGAAAGAGATGCGTCTAGCTGTAGCGAAGTGGGCGTTTAGTGCAGATGGGCTCTCCTTTGGGTGTCAAACACCGAAGAGTGTCGCGCAAAAGCGTGTCACCGCAAGAGTATCGAAACGAAGCGTCTTGAAAGAATGTCACACAAGAGTGTCCCACAGCATCGCACAAGAGTGTCCTAGAAGAGCCGTCAAGGAGTGTTTGAGAGATCCAAATTGTACATTCGGGTTCCATCGGGTTCGTGGGCTGCATATTTTCTAAGCTATTAGTAACAAGTGCCACTCTAGTAATAACAAGTGCCTTACTAGTAGTAACAAGAGCTATTAGTAACAAGTGCCACGCTACTAGAAACAAAGCTGACCTTTGTTTTTGGAAGCACCGCTGCAAAGACCGAACAAACCCTGAGTTTGCGGCGTCCAAAGTTGGTGTAATTGTCGTCCATGACTGGGGCTCAAACCTTCCAAAGCCGAACGTCACAGAATTCTCAGATCTGCTTATAGTGTCTGAAACCAGGCCAGGAGTACACTTGGAAATCAGGTTTCCAGTCTGGCAATTCAGTGATTGTTGGCCACACATCTGCAGATGGTGTCCCCAAGATCTGCGCGAGACAAGGGCTGACTGACATGGCAACAACTCCTGATTGCTTATCATCCCTCCTGATCTCATCCACTTCCGTCGTGACTGCTTAGATTCCAAGTGCTAAATGTTACCGTCTTTACTCTCTGTGCCATCCATGTCCTCAACGCCTTTCGTCTCTAATTTCTTCGATCCCCGTGGATCCCCGATCTCGGATTCCTCGATGTTTCGAAGACTCTCAGTTTTCGAGTTTAGTTGGAGTCTTTCCCAGTCTCTCCCAGTCAGCTTTCAAGCTCAGGGTGACTTTACTGGTTTGGCAGCTTCGAGATTCAGGTCAAAGAAAGAACAGTTTGCTGCATGTTTACAGTAGCTGCTACCTACTAGGTGCTTTGGCTTTCTGGGAAAAGTCCTGACAAAGCCTCAAAGAAACCTGTGGAACGAAATGAACACGTAGACGAAATGAAACAAAGACTGCCTACAACCCTACTTTGAACAAGTCTTTGTCTTCGACCTGAGTAACTGGACCTCGCTAAGAATCAGAAGGCTTCAGCTTTGCGGGGTAGGCTAAGTAGCTAAGAACATGTGCTAACTACGAGGATTGGGACCGGATTCTAAGCTAAGCCTGCGGAGGGTTCAATTCCTTGAGTCATTCGGAGAAGACTTCGAGCGGCGCCTTGAAGATCTTCTGCAGCTGATTGGCGTCCGTATCGCCCGGGAACAGCGGCCGGCCGTTCACCATTTCTGAACGAAAAAAAACAAAGCCAAGCAAGCAAGCTAAGCAACAAAGCTAAGCTAAGCAAAAAGGCAGACGTTAACAAAGTCATTGAGTCTCAAAACTGAAGCAACAAAAACACAGTTGCACACCTGCAAAAATACAGCCAACTGACCAAATATCTACCGGAGTGGAGTACCTCAATGCTCTATCCGAAAAGCAGAGATTCATGTCCAAGTTTTCTATGTTTCAAGATTAAACTTAAACACACACAAAGCCTGTGTGCCATAAGCGCATGACTTGCGGGAACCCATAAGCACATCTGGAGCTCTATACCACAATGTCACAACCTGAGTACAAAGTGCCAGGATTGTTGCGTAGATTCGTAGATGAAGCACATGTGCAAAACGTAAAACTTGCACCAAAGTGTGGCCCTGCCTCATGGGTGTAACTCCTTAGATGCCGCAGTTGCATGTCGCACTGCTGAAACGAGACTTGCTTCTTGGAGGGAAATGTGCGAGTGTTGCATATGTTTGGGAGGCTTAGCGAGATCTCCATTGGTTATGCTTCTGGAAGTGTTGCTGGCGCTTTTTGTTTGGATAGGCTTTGTGGTGGTGTGGCCTGGTTTGGCAATTGCATGTCTCAGGGATTCCAAAGGTGTACGCATTGGGAACAGTGTGCTTGCTGTGCACTGGGCGTGAATGGTTCCAGTGTTCCAGGCCGTTGCTCTTAGGTTGGAGGGCAGAGCGGCCCTCAAAAGGAATTTGGACTGTGAAGGTGTGGAAGGCTGACAAAGGGTGACACAACTCATAAAAGAACGCTACTAGGGGCTCCTGGCATCGCTACTAGGAGCAAGGACGCTACTAGGGGCTCTTGGCCTTACTACTAGGAACAAGAACGCTAACGGATGGGCACCCAGGAGATGATGCACATAGCCTCACATAGCCCAGTACTGGTGACAGCACCAGCTGGAGGATTTCAGAGGAACTGGACCAGGCGAAAGGGGGCAAAGATCGAGAAGAAGACCACGTGCCGAGACTCCATATGCTCAATGTGTCGGCAGAACAGGTTTCTGCTCTTTGCCCAAGAAGTGAAGGTGCAAACCATAGGTTTCCTTGGGTTTTTTGTTGGCTTGGTCGCACTTCTCGCTCGTTCGACTTCATGCAACATGCGTGAAAAAGTGGCACGCTGGCAGGTTTGCTCAACCGGATAGCATAACCGCCGGCCCTGCTCGACATCAGCCCGTTCGGTCATCATGCGTGCTGAAGAAGTCATCACCCCTCCACCAGAAGTGGCCAGTCAAATGGAAGATGTACAGGCCGAGTGTCAGGTCGAACAAAGAGAGATGGACCCACCTTTGAGGTGGACAGAGTGGACCCACCGGGAACACATGCTCCTTCCCCAACAAATCATTGAAGGCCTCTGCTCCTCAAGCGGCAACGGATGCAACGGTTGTACCGGGTTCTTTTGTCCTCGAGGTACTCGCAGGATGAGTCTATTGCCGTTCGTCTTCTTTGCGACTTGCTTGTGCTTGAGAACTCGCCAAAGAACTGCCAAGCCTGTCCTGGTGTGGTGGGGGAGGTCGAATGCAAAAAGTCACTTGCCCGTTTTCAGTAGTCCTATGGCACGAACTTTGGGTTGCCTATGTCTTCAGTCGCAAAACGCGTGCGGAACCAGGAGGAGTGTTTGCATGTGTCCTCTGACATACAAGAAGCTTTCGCTTACCCCTTGATAGGAAGTGCAGGAGTACAGTACCTAAATTGTAGTAGAGAAGGCTTCAATGATTGATGCCTTCCGATACGATTCTGAACTTTGCGTGATCGTCTCCGACATTCTGCCAAAGGCCGCAAACCTGAATGCTTAGAGGTCTTTGGCCATCTTTGGCAACTCCTTTTGACGATCAAGAAGCTGGCAAAGCAACTCTGGGTCATGGGCCTTGTCTGATCTACTGTAATTTTTGACCTGCTAGTAGTGGAGAGGTAGCTGGTAGCTCAAGTAGGCAAAGGGCAAGATGTAGCAAAGAAGCTACTAGGCTTGGGCGCAGAAGGGCTAAGGTTCTTCGCATGATTGGTTTGGTTCCTAGCTTTTTGTGAAATTAAGTGTCCGTTAGATTGCATGGCTGTACTGACAGTTTATGAATGTTAAACCTGTAATTAGGCCAACGTTGTCGTAAACACTCAAACGAAGATCCACTCCACGGGAAACAGTCTCCAAGTCGTGCATGAAACCGACCGTCCGTCTGTGTAGATCAACATCGGGAATGGTCACAAAGCGCACCCCCGAATGGGCTGACTTGGAAAAGCTACTAGTAACAGGTGCATCGCTAGTAGTAACAAGTGCCTTACTAGTAGTAACAAAAAGCTATTAATTGGGCTGACTTGGAAAAGCACAAAATGATGTCTTTTGGCGGCCTCCCTAACAGCAATGGGCTCCAACCTGCTAGCGATGGCCTCCAAGGATGTCTTTTGGCGTTTTACCTGGTGACCTCTCTTTGCATTCACCACACTTGGCCGGGCACGTATAGATTGAATGGATTCTCGGTTTACTTGATTGATAGGGACATGCCCACGCACCCTTGCAAGACAGCACTCATGTCTACTTCTCTTGCATGATGGGTGGATTGTGGCGAAGTGCTAGGTAGTGAGTGGAACGGTTTTCCTGAAAAAAAAAACAAAAGCATGTAGCCGGATACCGTCGGAAAATACCAGTTCTGGACTGTTCAATCTTCCTTTTCTTATCCTTTGTTCATCTTTGTTTCTCTTCTTTATTTTTCTTCCTTGCTCTCCTTCCTGTCTTTGCTTTCTATTTCTCAAAGTCGTCTTGGTTCTTTCAGGTCGTTCTCTCTTTCTCTCCCTGTCTCCCAATTTCTCTCTCCCTCCTGTTTCCGCCTTCCTTCCTTCTTTTCTTCCGTTCTTCTTTCCTTTCTTTCGTTCCTTCTTCCTTTCTTCGACATAAATGGTCCACTGTCCACTTGTTGACTTAATGCAATACTTAAATTGAGCCTGTTGATAAGCCAAGACGCCGCACAGGGATGCCAAAGGCCCGAGCCAATCCGAAGTCAGCCAACTTCAAAGAGCCTTCCTCAAACGGCAAATTCACTGCAAAAAAAATAGGTTTCTTGCTGCTTATCTGTTTGCTTTATAAGTGTGCCTTCTGCTATGATTCTCATTCTGCTTATCTTCTATGCATTCTTTCGCTTTTAGTATTATCTCTTATTCTGAGCTCTGCACTCTGTTAATGAGAAGATTCTGAGGCTTCAAGTCCCGGTGCAGCACACGGTGCGCATGGCAATACCTTACTTCTCCAAACAGCTAAGACCAGCGATCTATTTTTGCTGTTCGGTCCAACCTAAGCGTTTACTCTTCAGGTACGCGCCTTCGAACAGGTTCGAACATGACACCAATCTGTATTGGTTGTGGCTACATCATTTCCAACGACCTAAACATCCAAATATGGAAAACGCGCTTCTCCTACTTCCCTTTAGCTGCTCTGAAACACTTGGCCAAAAATGTCATGGCAGGTTCGGCGTCGAAACTTGCTCGCCAATGTCTGTTTCCGCTTGAGTGAGGGTTCTTTTAAACACTTGGAAGGGTGTCAGCCGAAGCAAAAGAACAATGACCACCAGGAAGCTGGCAAATTGACTGCGGATCAATGAGGAAAGGTAAAGGCTTTCACGAGGAAACAACTTTTGTTCTATCTTCTGTCGCTATTTGGTTGGAGAATGGTTCCTGTTCTATCTTCTGTCGAGAATGGCTCCTCGAGGCTCCCAGAGGCTCCCTGCGCTATGCCCCGCAAAAGCTGGTACAGAAAGGACTGGCGGTTCACAGAACGTTCTCGGACAGAGACAAAAGAGTCGTTTTCAGCAAACGTGTGTGTGTGTGTCCACCCCTGGACAAAGGGTTCTCAACCAACTTCGGCAGGGGGGTGCAGAGCACAGTGGAGACTGCACCCAACGAAGCTATCCACTTGTGCTGGAAGCAGAGCCTGATCAGCTCTGTGTACCTGCTTTCAACACAATGACTCCACTGGTCCACCCTGCCGCTGTTCGTTGGTTCCATGGTTCTTCATGCCTCCACCCCCCAAACAGGTTTCTTTCAGCAGCTGAGCCGCCGATCGTCCGCAGATGTGCAGCGTTTGTTCAGCAGAGCGAGGGAAACTATGTTAAACATTTCAAGTGATCTGACCCAATCACCCTGCCGTTCCACCGCCTTCCTTTCCAACGTGGTAACTGAGTCACTGAAAACCAATGTCAGAGTGTGTTTCGCTCAGCCGTCCCACTCGGGTGCTGAGTGTGATCCCCGTCACAGGGGCGCCGTTTCTGCATAGGAAATCATCCACCCCAACATGCCACCATTCACCGGATTTCCACTGGAAGTCATTGACACACCCATCGAATCAACTGATGCATTGGGCGCCGGGCCCAAAAACGGGATTCCTTCGACAGCCGCCGGGCTATAAAACGGTGCGGTGCTCAACCCCCCAATGAGGCAGGTTCCCCAACCCCCCCCCGCTGAGTTCTACTCCCTACCTATTTAGGGCAACATAGGGAAATGGTACTCGACACACTTGTGCGTCGGTGCCTTTCCCTGTGTTGTTCCTGTTCTAGTCTATCCTACCCAGGCGGTCTAAGACTAAAGTCCCGCTCCCTAACTAGTGCACCTAATTCACTTCGTCTAAGTATTCAGTAATTCTAGAGTGCTAGGTATTCAAACACACACACGTACACACACATGGACATACACCCCCTCCCTGCCCCCCGCTTTCCTTCTTGCGTTTTTCGTCGTTTGTTGGGCTTTCTTTCAGGCTTTT